AGGCTAATTTTATTTCCTTGGCCTCCATAGACAAAAAGACTGGATTTCTGGTCTTTCCCTTCATTAGGGCTTCCCCTACACGTTGGCAAGACAATTAAAGGGGATGAGAGGTGTTGATTTAGTCTAACTAATAGTTTGGCATTATGTAGACAAAACATCTGGTTGATTGGAGCTTTCATTCTTCACTGGGTGGTTTTGACATGGAGGAAAGATAATCATTGTTGGATACTTGCTAGTCATCATTATAAACCCAGCTGATAGCAGGGTAGAATCAACTGGTCCTAAAATAAAGAACTGTAGGTATGAATCTTCAACCTGAAAGACCATTGCTTATAAGAAAGAGGAGCTCTGGAGTTGAAAATGAAGAACTCAAGCATAACCTTCACTTATGTCTCCCTGAGACTGCTCCTACCCAGATACCCTCTCACAATTGCCTTATACCATGAGAAGTTGGTGAAACCCATAAATGCATTAAGTGAAGCCACAGTCCCTGGACCAGGAGTATATCTGTCTGAAGAAAGGGGCTCCTTTTTCTTCACACATAACTTTCTGTCTGCTCACAAACCCAAGGGGATGCATCCAGCCAGAAGGAAGAGATTGTCTTTTTGTTATTTGGCTTTTGTTTCTTTTTTATTCATCTGCCAAGAAAGGACACCTTGTTCTAATCCATCTAAAGGAACATATAGGCCTTGGTCTCTTCTTTCTACTTTTTCAAACCTTATATATCTTTCCAAGCCCAGCTAATTCTACCTCCCTAAAGCCTTCTCTGAGGCTCCTGTCAATTCTGATATGATGCATAACAACCTGACTGGTAAAAATTACTGGGATCACTGTGTCAAGTGGATATCAGCGTCTTATTACAGTTCAAGGAAAAGAATTCTATGATTTGTAATGTAACACCTTTCATGATTACAAGATGGGTAGGAGGTAACATGAACCAAATGTTTGCTTTTCTCATCTTTCCCTAGTATTTATTGACTTTGTCATTCATTTTTGGTAGCAGTTCTAGACACCTGTGTAGCAACAGTGAGCAACAATAGGTTCTCAGAGCTGAAAGACTAATAAAACAAGTTAGTAATCAAATAATCATTTACCTCTTGATGAATTAGAAATAGTCCCATTTCTTGGGGCGCCTGGGTGGTTCAGTCGGTTGAGCATCCAAATTTGGCTCAGGTCATGATCTCGTGGTCTGTGAGTTCAAGCCCTGCATCGGGCTCTGTGCTGATAGCTCAGAGCCTGGAGCCTGTTTCAGATTCTGTGTCTCCTTCTCTCTCTGCCCCTCTCCCGCTCATGCTCTGTCTCTCTCTTTCTGTCAAAAATAAACATTAAAAAAAAATAAAAAAAAAAAAAGAAATAGTCCCATTTCTTTATTGCTTCACTCATCTGAAAGTGGCATTTACTTCTATCCCCTGGTATCTGGATGCCCCTGGATTCCCCTGGAATCTTGCTTGCTTTAACCAATAGACTATGTTGAAAGTGACACTGTGGCAAGTCTGGGCTCAAACTTTAAAAGTCCTCTTGGCTTGGCTTCCACCCTTGTTTCTTAGAAGTTATCCACCATAGTGTGAGGAACATTGGGCTAGACTACTAAATGAAAGATCCCAGAGAGAGACCCAGGAAGGTGAGAGGTCATGTTGATCATGGCAGGACCAAAGGGTCTCCCAGCTGAATGTGGCCACATGAGCAACCACATCTCAAATGTGAAACAGGAAATCTACCCAGCTGAACCCAGTCAACCCATAGAACCGTGAAAAATTTAAATTGCCATTTTTTTTAAACCACAAAGTATGGAGATCATTTGTTACAAAGCGATAACTAAAATACATCCTATCTAAGGTAAACGTCTACCACATTCTCTTTCTTTCACATTATCCTGCTTTTTAAATTTTCTTTAAAACTCTAATCACTACCTAAAATTATTTTCTTTACTTTTCTGTTGCCTCCCCCAACAGGAAAAAAACCGTGAGAGAACAGGGACCTCGCTATACGGCTTCCTGCTGTGAACTTTGTGCTTAGAACAATGCCTGACTCAGAGCAGAATGCTCAATAAATACTTGTAGATTAACTGAATAGATGAATAGTTGCAGCTATGACAAATGAGCTGAGAAGTAGACATTGCTGTAACAGTTTTTTTTAACTTTTTTTAGTTTATTTATTTATTTTTGAAAGAGAGACAGAAAGAGCTAGTGGGGGGAGGGGTAGAGAGAGAGGCAGAGAGAATCCCAAGCAGGCTTCACTCTGTCAGCGCAGAACCTGATGTGGGGCTCGAACTCACAAACCATGAGATCATGACCTGAACAAAAACCAAGAGTCAGACACTTAACTGACTGAGCCACCCAGGTGCTCCATATGTTGCCCATAACAGTTTTTAATGAGGGGATTAGAACTGGGAGGGAAGTCAGAGAAGATAAGGCTTGTTTTGAAAAAATCTTCACGTTATGTCCAGCAGGAGAGTGGGGGATTATTTTCTTTCTAGTTACTGTTCAATTAACTATTTTCATATAAGTAACATTATCACTAAACTTTCTGTGGTGGCAGATTTTTAGAATATTTTTCAAAGCTATTTTTAGAGCAACCTTCTAAGGATCCAGCTACTAATTAATTAAGGAATCCCCTGAATTATCAGATATTCATTTTACAAAAATTGCTCAGAAAAAGAAGATGTGGAATCTGCCCTATTCCTCTGCTAGAAATCGGAGTTAAAGGGAAAATTCTTTCTCAATTTGAAGAAATGCTTCTTCCTAAATGTGAGGACAAATTTTAAGAAAACATTTTACGTTTCCTAAGCACATAGTCCATTTGGGAATTTTTTTACATAGAAAAAGAAAGAATTCTTAAAAGAGGAAGTCAGCAAGAGAGAAACATGGAAATACCCTTTTCCTCCTTCTTAGAAAATATTTCCCTGCTAGAAAGAGAAAGGCAGAAGAGGTCCAAAGTTGAGTCCAAAGAGGACCTCCAAAGAGGTCCAAAGCCAGAATGCTATAGACACATCGTCTCAAGGCTGGTAAGCAGCCAAGACCCTTCCTTTAAAGCCAAACAATGGGGTCGCCTGGGTGGCTCAGTCGGTTAAGCGGCCGACTTCGGCTCAGGTCATGATCTCGCGGTCCGTGAGTTCAAGCCCCGCGTGGGGCTCTGTGCTGACAGCTTGGAGCCTGAGGCCTGTTTTGGATTCTGTGTCTCCCTCTCTCTGACCCTCCCCCGTTCATGCTCTGTCTCTGTCTCAAAAATAAATAAACGTTAAAAAAAAATTAAAAGAAAAATAAAGTCAAGCAATGAAGATAAGAAAATGAAGATCAAAAAGAGAAAAGAATAAAAATGAAAACAGAAAATAATGGAGCTGATGTCAATGTGTGTGTAAAATATATATGGGAGGGGTGGCAAAATTAAATAATTCAATTTTCTTCCTTATACTTTTATGTATTTTTAAATGTTGGTTTTAGACACATACACACATACATACAATACATATATAAATATATGTATGTGTATACAAAAATATATACATACACATCTATGCATATATATTTACATATACATGTAAATAATATACATGTAAGCATATATACATACATGCATATATATGTACTATATATGAAAATACACATGCATCTTGGGTTTCTATCTGTTTTTAAATTTTTCTTTAAATCATTCCTTTGATCTTTGTTCAAAGCTTAGTTTTGTCTGTTTTAGCAGAAGAATAGATAAATTGTTAGCATAAATGGAAGGGAAATTCATGGTTATAGAACTCTGAGTTGAGTTTGAACAGAAAGATACTATAACTCAATATATTGAGAGACAAGATTCAGTTCAACAAGTAAACACCGACTCTGGGCTCATTTGGATTTTTGTTTGAATCTTGATTCACCACTTGCAATCTCTAGAAATTGGGAACTTGAACTATTTATCTCTAAAAGACAAGTTCTTTCCATTCAATTCAAGAAATATTACAGAACACCTTCCATGCTAGGTTCCATGCAAGACAGCTAGCAGTTGCCCTCATGGAGTTTATAGGAAAGAGACATCTGCAAAGAAAATGATAAGTGAGCTGACAGCCTCCTCAAAAGATTTTGATTTAGCAAAGTTCTCTTATAAAGTGGTCAAGAGAATTTTGTGAAATAATTCATACAATGTCCCTGGGACTATGTATAGTCAAACACATTCAATAATATGGTGTTCTAAGCCCCTCGACCTCAAAGCAAAGAGGAAGTAGACACCCAATACCTTCTATATTTGAAGGGTTGTTGAGAGCCAAGATCATCTGTGCCTATTCTCCATCATAACTCTGGTGCTTATATTGGATTAGCAAATGACTGATTTGTTCCCTCTTAAAGCTTAAACAAAATAAAAGATGTAAGCACATAGCTTTATCCCACTGTTTGCTCTTTGAGCAAACTGAATGGTGTCTCACCCACCTTTTACAATCCCACAGTGATCACCACAATGCTTAAGAAATTATAGGAAATATAGAGCAAAGGAAAAACACTACATGGTTGAAGATATAGGTCTTTCTCCACACTTCTCATGTGAAAATCATATAATCTCTAAATGCCAACATCCCTACTCTCAAGTGGGTTTTGAAATTCTTGCTTCCCTCACAAAATAATGAAATGAGATAACATAAGTGAAAGTGTTCTGCAAACTTTAAGACACTACAAAAGTATACATGAGTGTTATTATTAAGACATTTTCATGCTTTAACCCCCTGAAGTCTGGCTTTCGCCAACCATCTCTTCACTGAAACTCAAAAGTTACTCATAAACTTGGTTTTATCAGTTTCTCAGAGTTAATTATGTTTGGGATGATGACTCCTGCTGATGTGAATGTATAACCCAGGATATGTGTTTAGAAAGAGAAATAGAACAATTTTTTCTGTTGCGTGTTCTTTCCCAGTAGAAAAGCCACATGAAAGCCAATTTATTAGAAGGTACCTTGGTAGGCAAAGAACTGGATGTCTTATAGTCAACTCTGGTGATTGGAATGTTTAATGACTCCAGTGTGTCTGCTTCCAGGATAAGGAGGTATCTGCCTGTGAAAAGTGGATGTTTATATCATCTAATCTAGGCACTAGCTAGCTTCTCTGGCTTGTGTCTCTCTGCTTCTCCTTTGTTAGCCAACCTCCCCTCTGAATGACACATTCTTTCCTTTGATAAGGTAATGCCTTCAGTCAGGTTTCAATCCTGTCTTACTGGCCTGGTCAGGAATCTGTCTCTCTTAACATAACTCTGCCTGTCTTTTATCCATCAAACTTAGTGTCTGTTTTATAGTTTAACTCCCTGTGGCCATCCTATTTCACTTCCTGTGTGTTCTTAGAGAGCCCTTCATGGTTACCCTCATCTTTCACCAAGAGTAATGGTCTTTTAATTTATCTCTGAATTCAGTGGTCCCTTATTGGTCCTCATCTTCCTTCTTCTCTATGCAACATTGACAATGTTCATCTTGTCTGCAGTAGGCAGTTCCCAACATAATCTCTCTTCTCAATGGTCAACCAATTTCTTTGAGGGAAATTACCTTCTCCCCATTGTATTTAAAGTTGGTGGAAAGGTAATTCCTGGCTTGAAAATACCTACCTCCAACTGTGGACCAGACTCTGGTTCAGCCAATATAGGACTATGATCAAATCTCAGTCAATCAGAAGATTTTGGGTTTTCAGGGGCAGCCATTCCTATGACAGGGGAGAACAGAGTGACAGTCACTGCAATATCCCCAGCATACAGAATAATATAGATATTTGTCAAATGGTCCAAGCTTACTGCATTTTGGGCCTCTGGATTGATGTATGTAGATTGATATATATATATATATGTTAATCTATATGTGTATATATATATATATCAATATATATATATATATATACACACACACAATAAATGCAAAGTATATTATACATTATACTTCATATATTATAGTTCACAATTTGTATACTATATTATCTATTATATCTATTACAATGTATATTACATTAGGTTATATCATATTATATTATTTGGTTATACATTGGTTTCTATTATTCTTAAGCCTTATCTTTTTACAACCTTTTTAAAAAATGCACTAACACTTTTATTGCATTTGAGGACACTTTTGATAAATATCTTGAATTTGAAGCCTTGGCTAGGTAATTCTTTTGCACTAGAAATCAGTGATCTCTAATACAACTCCATTGCCAACTATGGGATTTATCAAAACTGTAGATTCCAGCTTACTGAATATTTCAACACTTTATTCAAGTATTCCTATCTAGTGATCTCACTAGCTCTGAGACAAACCAAATATAAATGCTTAATGTATGGTACAAATCAAGAGATTTTTCACAGAAGAAAACCACAAAAGACTAATTTTCTACAACATGTCCCATGCTCATTAGATCTTCAGTAATATTACTCAAGTTATTTCAAGGGTAATAACATTTATACACATTACCCATGTTTTCTTAAATTTTTTATCTGGATTCCAAAAGGTATAAACAAGGATGCATATACTCAAAATTGTTTTTACAAAATTTTTAGGTTTATTTATTTATTTTGAGAGAGTAAGAGAGACAGAGAAAGGGTGTGTACATGGGAGAGGAGCAAAGAGATGAAAGGAAAGAGAGAATCCCAAGCAGGATCTGTGCTGTCAGTATGGACTCCAATGTGGGGCTTGATCTCATGAACCATGAGAACCATGATTTGGGCTGAAGTGAACAGTTGGACACTTAACCTACTGAGCTACCAGGTGCCCATTATAAACTATTGATGTTTATTTTGTCATACATATTACAAAAATGAATATATGGAGAAAAGGACAAGTGCACAATGACAAGTGTACATTTAAGTCATTTGTAGCTATATAAATTTTTTTATATGGTGATTTGTTCATATGGGTATTATAAATGACAGACAAAATAATTCTGATGCTATGATCCTGAAATTCTACTAAATCCATTTGCTTAAGGTATTCAAAGGGATTTTTATTGCTTGCGGTCAATAAGTTTTTAGTCTCCTTATGAAAGCAGCAAAATGGCCTCTCATTACCTCCCTGGCACAGTGCCGTCTACTTATAGGTGCTCAATAAAGTCAGTACAATCGACCTATTGTGTATTAGGCATTCAGCCACTACAGTTGGATTGAATTGAATTGACATGAATTGAACAGGCTTTTCTCAAACCCATAGCAACTATGAAACTAGAATATTTCACCACCATTCAGAAAATTGTGCTCACAAGATCACATTCCGGAATCTTGACAAATGAGATTTCAGCAACTCTTTAGTTAAACACTTCGTGGACAAATTATGTGTTGCTCTATTACTAGGAGTTCTGGCACGGATCTACAAATAATGTTGTTCCAAAGTAACTGCCTATGTTTGTCGGCAGTGTGTCATTGTGAAGTGACTGTAAGGGACCGCACTGTTAGCTTGAGCCTTCGGTTTAACCACAGACTCTGACTCAACAGCAACATTGGTTTGCAGAATCAGATGAAGGAATGTATGCCGAATAGGAATTGCGGATAATAACGTCGATTGGTTTTTCCCTTTTGAAGCACAGAAAATAAAATGTTTTCTATGTTACTGGGCTTCTATAGTACCTCCCTTATCGAGGATTATATCAATTCTACTTGGCAATTGTGCAAAAGTCTGTTAAATAAAAATGAGAGATTGCAGTTGTGATCCTGGGAAACTCTTCTTCTTAAGAAACTTACTCAGTAAGACACAGTTTAAAAATAGTAAGAATCGACTTTGATGGAAAAAAAAAGCCAGTATTTATGTGGCTCGAAAGTTTACCAAAACAAGACTATATGTTAACTTTGTCAAGTAGTATTTTTACTCCTTCCTGAGAATGAACCTCTCTCCCTGAAGAGAACTGTCATTGAAAACCACGAGTTCCTGCTAACCACAGAGATCTGGATTTCATCAATAAGGCCACAGAACCCAGTAAACACTGCCCCTTCTATTGGGTACACATATGCCATGCACACAAAACCATCTCAGCAGCCTTTCACTCAAAACCCAGTATGTTCTTTCCCAACTGTGTGGAACACTAAAGCCTATACTTTCTTCAAAGTGACCCTTGAATATCAATGATGAAACCTGCACTGAAGGACACTTAAGACACATAACACTTAATGACAGGGAGGGAGGTTTGGGGGAAAATAATATATGGCCAGGTCCATGGAAATCACCCTGAAAGAACTTCCTTAAGAGAAATGGCTTAGAACAAAGCAAATCAAATAATTTTGCCACCAAGAAAAATGTAAGAAAGAAAGTTAAATCAGGTTTGCTAAAGAAAAAAAAAAAAGAATTGGTGAGGAGAGAACCTTCCCCATCTCAGTAGGGTAATAATGGGGACTTTGTCTGTCTCAGGGAAGAAAGGATGTGGTGGTCCATTCTGTCCATGCATGAGTTTAACCCTAGAATGTCAAACTCAAATTCCAGAGATTACCAATGATGTAATAGAAAAGCCACTACAAATTGGTTATCCATATAGGAAAAAATAAAATTAGATTTCTGCCAGCCCCACAAAAATCAATTCCAGATAGATTAAAGATCTAAATGTCAAAAAACGGAACATTTTAGTAGGGAATATAGGTGAATTTCCTTCTGACCTTAAAGTAGAGAAGGGTTTCTTAAGACACAAAATGCGCCAATATAGGGGAAAACAAATGGATGAATTTACATTAAAATCAAGACCACTTACTAATGAGAAGACACATTAAAGAAAATGAAAATTTGTATAATAAACTGGAAGAAGATATTTTTAACATGTATAACCAATAAAAGATTAATAACGATATATAAAGAACATTTGGAAATCATAAGGAAAGCCCAAATAACAATAACAAATGACCAAATTCATAAGCAAGTACTTGGAGGTAAAGGAAACATATTACCAATCAATATATGTGCAAAGAGAGATTTAATTTCACCAGATATTGGGAAAATACAAATTACAATATAAAATGCCACTTTAGACCCTGTTGACTGGCAAAATAATAAAAATAAAAATGTTAATGTTTGACAATTACCAAATATTGGGAAAATTTTAGATGAATAGGATTGAGAGGTAAAGATTAACTTTTAAAGACCAATCCACTGCAAGCTGATCTCCCAGAAATGGAGCTGGCCTCCTACAAAGCACCATGGAAACCAGCATCGGTCAAATACCTAAGGTGACACCACTTCTGGTTAACCTCAAGGGTTTGACCCCAGCACACTGATTATGCCCCATGATGGACAGTGATTCTGCAAACATGAACACTCATGTCATGTGGCAAATTCTGCCATTCACTCTCATCATTATACGCTTGCAAGTGGTAGATAGGGAATTTGACCTGATCACTGTGAGAGAGAGGTTGATGGTACCATCTACTAAGCTAAAGGTTCTGTTATGTCACTTTGCTATTTTACTTTGGACTCTAATCACATTGGGAGAGGAGCTGGAGTAGACTTAACTGTACAGATTAAAAGCCCTACAACCAAAGAACAATCTTCAATCATCTGACATCTGGCCATGCTAGATAACTGTGACCTACCCCTAATGGAGTAGCCAAAGGGGACTTTCAAGCAAAATTCTAGTTCTTACATTGAGTGGTGAATGTTTAAGTGGTTGTATTTTTAAAAAACAAATAAGTATAAACAAAGAAGCAAACAGCCAAATACGGGCAGCCATTTGTGAGCCAGTGATGAGAGTACTTTGTGGCTAAAGACTATGATTAATCCAAACCTGTGCTCCTGGAGGCAAAACAAAAGGAAAAATGGCGTTATATAGCTTTAACTTAGGTGGTCAATATACCTTATCTAAAATCCTAATAATAATTTGTGGTGTAGCTACTTTTATATCCACATTTTACACAAAATAACAGGCTCAGAGAGGATAAGTGAATAGCCCAACGCTATGTATCTAATAAAAGTTTAATATCAGATTTGGATGTAACTCTATTGATTATGTGTTAGTTTGATTAAGCTGCGGTGACACTAACCCCCAAACTATCGGTGGCTTACCGTAGTAGTTATTTACTTCTCATTCACATAAGGGTCCCAGGCACATCATTTGAGTCACATCACTGAGTCATCATTTGGCCTAAATTCCTTCCTCCTGTGGCTCCGTAACTCTCTAGATCCTTACTATCGTATGTATGAGAGAAAATGAAAGAACACACTAGGGGGTTATATAGGCCAGGTTTAGAGTGATATTCCTTATTCCTACTCAAGTTGCATTTGAGAAAATGCCACATAAGCACACTTAACTGTAGGGAGTCTGGTAAATGTAGGAAGAGGTAAATTGAGTGGACAGCTTGTAACTTCCACTATAGGCTCCAAACCTCATGGTCTGCCCAATGTAATATAGGTTGTTTCTTGTGAAAATAATGCCATAGAGCAAAAATGACTTTGAATTATCACATGATAATGGCAGGCCATGAGCAACAAGTTCTGTGATGCTAGGGCACATGTGCTTCCTGGACTAAAGTAGTGAGTTTATCAGAGTATGAAAAACATACCCCAAGCAAAGCTGTGTGAAGTGCTTCTTCATTATTCTTGAATCCATGCATGCCCATGAAGCAACTTGCACTATACAAAGAGCTAGCCATCCCTGACTTAGTAACTCAGGGAATAAACTACATTGACTGAGGCTGTGTGTGCGCATGCATTGGAATGAACACAGGAATATAATTAAAAACGGAAACAATC